GGTGTTCCCACAGAATCCCTCTTTATCCGACCACTGTTTGATAACTTTTGAGTTTGTATTGCTGAACTACTCGCCATTGGGCAAAAATTTCTATACAAGATGTCTGTCTGATAGTGCTATAGCTAAATTTAAGGATGCGATTCCATCAGCTCTAAATACATTATCTAGTCACAAAGTAACGGAGGACTCCTATGCTAATTTCAGTCCCTCCCAAATCGATCATCTTGTTGATAGTGCTGCTGGCTCGCTGCGAATGACACTCGACTCTGTAGCCCCTCTAAAAAAGAAAATACTAAAACAAAGACGGTTAGCTCCATGGTATAATACTGAAACTCGCAAATTAAAGCAAATATCACGGAAACTTGAGAGGAATTGGCGTTCCACCAAAGTGGAAAATTCTCGTTTAATTTGGCAAGATAGTCTTAAAACTTATAGGAAGGCCCTCCGTAATGCCAGAGCAGCGTACTACTCGTCATTAATAGAGGAAAATAGGAACAACCCCAGGTTTCTTTTCAGCACTGTAGCCAGGCTGACAGAGAGTCACAGCTCTATTGAGCCAAGTATTCCCATAGCTCTCAGTAGTTACGACTTCATGAGCTTCTTTAATGATAAAATTCTAGCTATTAGAGACAAAATTCACCAAGACCTGCCCTCAACTGGCACCGACTTATCTCTAAACTCAGGAACCTTAGAAACAGCTGTAGAACCAGATACATGTTTAGACTGTTTTGCTTCCCTCAATCTTTACCAACTAACTTCAATAATTTCTTCATCTAAACCATCAACCTGCCTCTTAGACCCCATCCCGACTAGGCTGCTTAAAGATGTTTTACCCTTAGTCAGCACCTCTATACTAGATATGATCAATCTATCTTTATCAACAGGCTATGTACCACAGTACTTTAAAGTAGCTGTAATTAAACCTCTTCTGAAAAAGCCCAAACTTGATCCGGATGTTTTATCAACTATAGACCTATATCTAACCTTCCATTTCTCTCTAAGGTTCTGGAGAAAGCAGTTGCTAAACAGCTGTGTGACTTTCTACAGAGCAATAGTTTATTTGAGGATTTTCAGTCAGGATTTAGAGCTCATCATAGCACAGAGACAGCACTGGTGAAAATTACTAATGACCTCCTTATTGCATCAGACAAAGGACTTGTCTCTGTACTGGTTTTATTAGATCTTAGTGCTGCATTTGATACCATTGACCATCAGATCCTATTGCAGAGACTGGAATATTTCATTGGCATTAAAGGAACCGCTCTAAGCTGGTTTAAGTCCTATTTATCAGATCGATTTCAGTTTGTACATGTTAACGATGAGTCCTCCATGCACGCCAAAGTTACTCATGGAGTTCCTCAAGGATCTGTCCTTGGACCAATCCTCTTCACTTTATATATGCTTCCTTTAGGCAATATTATCAGGAAACATTCCATAAGCTTTCATTGTTATGCAGATGATACTCAGTTATATCTATCGATCAAGCCAGATGAAACTCATCAGTTAGCTAAACTTCAAATGTGCCTTCAGGATGTTAAAACCTGGATGAGCTGTAATTTTCTTATGTTAAACTCAGATAAAACTGAAGTTATTGTTCTGGGGCCTAAGCACCTCCGTGACGCATTATCTAAAGATATAGTTTCCCTGGATGGCATCGCCTTGGCCTCCAGCACCACTGTGAGGAATCTTGGAGTTATCTTTGATCAGGACATGTCGTTTAAGTCCCACATTAAGCAAATTTCAAGGACCGCCTTTTTTCACCTACGTAATATTGCGAAAATCAGGAACATCCTGTCTAAAAATGATGCAGAAAAACTAGTCCATGCATTTGTTACTTCTAGGCTGGATTACTGCAATTCCTTATTATCAGGCTGCTCGAAAAAGTCCATTAAGACTCTTCAGCTGATCCAGAATGCTGCAGCACGTGTTCTGACAGGAACCAGGAAAAGAGATCACATTTCCCTGTTTTAGCTTCTTTGCATTGGCTTCCAGTAAAATCCAGAATAGAATTTAAAATCATTCTTCTTACCTACAAAGCTCTTAATGGTCAGGCACCATCTTATCTTAAAGAGCTCATAGTACCTTACTACCCCACCAGAGCACTGCGCTCCCAGAATGCAGGGTTACTTGTGGTTCCTAGAGTCTCCAAAAGTAGACTAGGAGCCAGAGCGTTCAGCTATCAAGCTCCTCTCCTGTGGAACCAGGTTCCAGTTTGGGTTCAGGAGGCAGACACCATCTCCACATTTAAGAGTAGGCTTAAGACTTTCCTCTTTGATAAAGCTTATAGTTAGGGCTGGCTCAGGTAGTCCTGAACCATCCCTTAGTTATGCTGCTATAGGCCTAGACTGCCGGGGGATTTCCCATGATGCACTGAGCTCCTCTCTCCTCTACTTTCTCTCCCTCTGTATGCAACCTTATCCCATTATTGCATGTTACTAACACAACTTCTCCCCTTTCTGGTAGTCTTGTGCTTTCTCGTCCCTCTCCTCTCTCCTCCTATCACTTCCTGCAGGTTTTCTGGCTCTGGAGCTGTGGAGTCTGGATCTGTGGCTGCGGGTCGCCTGCTGCCCCCGTGTTCCTGCTCGACACCCTCTACTGCAGCGACTGTTGTCGCTGGTCTTATTGTTATTATAATCATTAACATTACGATGGTTACCATTAACACTATTATAAATATCTGTACCATTTTTCATTTAGTTATAGCAACATTACCTTCGCTGTCTGTACCTCTGTGTGTATATTGTGTAGGCTGCCTCCCTCCCCTCTCTCTCTCCTTACATCCCTCTCTCTCTCTCTCTCTCTCTTTCTCTCTCTCTCTCTCTTTCACTCTCTTCTCTCTCTCTTTCTCTCTCTCTCTCTCTCTCACCCCAACCGGTCGAGGCAGATGGCCGCCCACCCTGAGCCATGGTTCTGCTCGAGGTTTCTGCCTCTTAAAAGGAAGTTTTTCCTTGCCTCTGTCGCCTAGTGCTTGCTCTTGGTGGGAACTGTTGGGCTTCTGTAAATATCATCACAGAGTACGGTCTAGACCTGCTCTTTTATGAAAAGCGCTGTGAGATAACTGTTGTTGTGATTTGGCGCTATATAAATAAAATTGAATTGAATTGAATTGAATTATTTTCATTTTTAAATCTCCATGAACATATTGATAAGATCACTTTAAAGTATGTCAACGTCGGACATCGCTATAAAACAAATTGAAAGGTCACTTAATAAACGCCCCCTATATGAGCCAGCTCCGAAATCGCCTGAGCCAGGAAGGCAATGCGAAATAAAACTTTACATTAGGAAAGAGGGGGGGACAAAACATAGATTTTGAAATGAAATGTTTATAATGCCTCCTATGCCTATCAGGTGATTAACCTCACCACAAATCCACACAAGTTAATTTCAGCGCCTCTGATAAAGTGCAGCTCACAGCCGCTTCAGGTGGAGCTGAGAGGACAGAAACAGAGCTACAGCTGGATCATCTTATTCTCCCGCTAATAAATAATAAATGAAATAAAAATAAATAATAAAAATCTCTCTCTCTCTCTCTCTCTCTCTCTCTCTCTCTCTCTCTCTCTCTCTCTCTCTCGCTCGCTCGCTCGCTCCCGCACCCTCAAGTTCAATTTTCGCCCTTTTGTTGTTTGTTTTTAAAAAACCCTTCTGAGATCCGGGGTATGGGCTCATCTCTGTACTTCTTTGCAAATTTCAATCTGGCCTTCCGATTCTTCCTGCTGATGAGTGGTTTGCATCTTGTGGTGTGGCCTCTTTCTGCTCTCTGAGTCTTCTTCCAACAGTGGATTGTGATACCTTCACCCTGCACTGTGGAGGTCGCTGGTGATGTCACTTACTGATGTTTTGGGGGTTTTCTTCACAGCTCTCACGATATTTCTTTCATCAGCTACTGTTGTTTTCCTTGGTCGACGTCTGTTGCTCAGTACACCAGTAGTTTCTTTCTTTTTCAGGATATTCCGAATTGTTGTGCTTGCTATGCCCAATGTTTGTCCAATTGTCCAATTCAATTTTCCTTCTTTTCTCAGCTTGGCAATGGCTTGCTTTTCTCCCATAGACAGCTCTCTGGTCTTCATGTAGGTTTATCCTCTTTAACAGGAAATGCAGTCTTTATAGGTTTGAACCAAGGATGAAAACTTAGACTAGTCATGCAGAGCTATTTAATGTTTGGACAATCAACCTAAAAGGCAACACCTGGGCAACAAGAGACATGTCAGTCACATGTTCCAGTAGTTTTGGTAGTAGGGTGGTATGTCCTGAGTTGTTTAACACATCTAGATGTGAATGCCAAGAAATAAAAGCTGAAATTCTGAACTTTTGTCTCATACTCATCTTTTGACCCACATGTCTTCAGTGAACAACAAAACAAAGAAATTTGCCTTACCGTTCTAATACTTTTGGAGGAGACTGTATATTCTTATTGTAAATACATATTCTCCTTTGTAGCTGAACAACTATCATACAAGGGTTTGTCTGTACAGCAATGATATCCCAGGTCTCATTAACTTAAGACAGAATGATTATAAATTACACAGTACTATGTCTCATGTGAGTTTATTAAGTCTTTCTGTTTCTGAGGCTATATACTACCAGGCAGTCCTTAAATAAATATCATTTGCACTGCGTCATTTCTTGGCCATGATCAGCATTGACATCACAGCAGTTCACTGCAAATAAGAGTCCTGTTGAATCTAAACCCGGGAGAAAAAAATGAGCAGGAATGGATGCAATGAAAAGTTAGTTGAGAAACACAAAATGTCGTACTGGAAAGGTAGATAACAGTCAAGAAAGAAACTTACTGAGAAGTTTCAAGTCAAACCATCTGACCCTTATTAAAAAAGAAACACATGACCTAGAGTATAGGCAAATATACACATATAAAAACGTGTCACAGACCATCTGAAAGATATAAAGTAATCAAGGCTCTCAGCTCAGATTAAACATTAACCTGAACAATGACGGTGTTTGGGGCTGCTGGCAGTCTGTGGCTGAGGCAAAGGTCTTCTAAAAGCTTCTACCATCCTGAAGTCAGTGTTCGTTGCAAACAAGGAGTTGCCTTTCACAAAGTGACAATGCTCAACTCTGTGGGACTGAACCTTGTGGTGCTGCTTTCAGCAATGCGAGCAGCCACAGTAGAGAGGTGAGTTTTATTCATAAAATCACACACTGACGGCTTGTGTCAAATACCGTTTCTCAGAAGGTAAACACAACATGGCTAGGGACATTACTGTGGAAGCAATCTGTTACCTTTGAATCCAAATCCTTACAATAGTTCTCAGAAAGAGCATTCACTTTACTGACTAAAATATGAAAATATTCCCAAAGAAATTGCAAAACAGCCCATATGAGAGTGTTTATATATTATATATTTTTGTTATTATTGATGCATCCAACCGAATCATCACTGGAAAAGTTCCACATTTGTGGGCCAGGGAGCAGTGAGCTCCTTATTTCTAGTGGCTGTGAAGTAGCCCCACAAGCAATATTTTTTTACCTTTGGACAGAGCCACGCTAGCTATTTCCCCCTGCTCCCAGTCAGGCTAAGCTAAGCCAGCCATCTCCTAGTGGTATCTGTAGTATCAATCTTCTCATCTAAATCTCGGCAAGTGGATGGAAGCAGCATTTTGACGATGAAGCTGGTCAAGGTGGAGCTCCTTCTACTGCATACTTGAATAAACGCGTAAAACCATTTGTGGCTCCATAGGGAGCTGTATGAAGTCTTTCAGGGGGCATTACGGAGGAATTTTGTTGGCTCTGTGGTGGCATCAGCCACCTTCTACGGAGTGGTCTGCTTGGGCAGTGGCATTGCAGTGGCAGATAGGAGGAGACTTGACAGGCTGATTAGGGAATCCAGCTCTGTTCTTGGATATGCCCCCATGACAGCATGGAGGGGGTGGGAGATATAAGGATAGTTGCTAAGATCCTCCATGATGGAGAACCCTTCCCAGCCCATGCAGGTTGTCCTGAGGAGACTGAGCCGCTCCTTTAGTGACATGCTGCTTCAAAGAGAGATACCGCATGTCTTTTCATTCCTGGTTCTGTCAGACTTTACAATCAGTCCTGCTCCCAGTAGACTACATGGACAAAACACACACACAGACTGATAATCTGTGCAATACTGTAGATACAGCTATTTACTAGTCATTCTCTTATATTAATATATTCTTAGATTTATTCGTTGTTTGTTTATCTTTAGAGTGTCTTTTGTACTTTTTACACTGCCTTGCTGCTGTTTCTGTAACATTGGGAATTTCCCCGTTGAAGTAAATTGAATTTAAATGAATTTCTTTAATTTTATTAAGGATGAGGAGACATACAACACAATATTACTGAGGTAGGACACAGTTCAGAAAACCACTGGTTCTCATGTGTCTCATGTATTTTGGTGTGTGCAACAGAGTGGAGTATGACTACTACAAATACCATCCAATGCCGGAGGTGAGAAGGCCCGATCACTGCTCTCGCACATGTTACTTTGACACACACACACACACACACACACACACACACAGACACTGATGTGTGATGTTGCTCCACCCTACAGATCACCAACTGGATGAATCAGACTGCGAAGGATCACCCTGATCTTGTGACCATAGTGGACTATGGAAAGACCTATGAGAAGAGGACTATTAGCTTGCTCAAGGTAAAACAAATTTCTAAGATTTCTGATCAGATACCAGAAGCATACTGGAGAATATTGTTTGTGTTTATATGATCCAGCAGCCAAATAAGAAGCTCAATGAATTTGTCTTCCAGATTGGCCTGAATACTGGAAAGAAAAAGAAAGCTATCTGGATGGACTGTGGGATCCACGCCAGGGAATGGATCGCCCCGGCCTTCTGTCAGTACTTTGTCAGACAGGTGAAAGACATCTGATCTATTAATTATTAGTTATTATTTTTTCTGTGATGAGGGTTAAACTTCATATTTAAAGGGGACAATAAGTTCATGTCTTCCACAATATCTGTCTGACCCTGATTTTTTTGTTTCTCCCTCAACTTAGATCCTGCAAACATACAAAACAGACCCAAAAATGGAAGAGATGATGAAGAACATGGACTTCTACGTCACCCCTGTGCTCAACATGGACGGCTACATCTACACCTGGAAGGACAACACAGTCAGTACTTGTATTTGATGGATATTTACCAAAATTACTTCCTGAGTTGTGCATCAAGCTCTCAAACTACTGGGGAGCGGGATATGAGAGAATAATGGTCCATTAAAGCGATGGCAGTGAAGTTTAAATGAGTCACAGTTCAATCAGCGAATCAATTGCTTTCTGATGATCAACATGGCCCAAGTACAAAATCATTTCATTTTCTAAATAAGATGAATGGAGAAATAACATCAAACAGCAATCCAAGGCAGCATTTAGTTATGTACAAAAACGTTAAGTGCTGTTTAATTCTCAGAAACGGCTGATTTCACTGACTGACCATTTTGGCCTGTTTAGACTCGACTGTGGAGGAAGAACAGGTCACCAGGACCTTCAGACTGTTACGGCACTGATCTCAACCGCAACTTTGACGCCAACTGGGGCAGTGAGTCTTGTTGTGCTTCTCCCTCTACATATTTATACAGCTTGTTGCTCTGATAACCATGGATTAGTGAATATCACACCAAGGTGTTCTTGAAGCTTGAAGCACAACACAATTTGTTTTAAAAGCACTTAGGCTCAGTGAATGAATGTGCGTGAATGGTGAATGCAGATGTAGTGTAAAAGTGCTTTGGAGTGGTCGAAAAGACTAGATAGACGCTATACAATTACGGAGCATTTAGCAAGTTGGCTATATAATTTAAATGATGTCACCATCAGCGTGTTTCTGCTGCCCCCAAATGGCCAGAAATCAGTTAATGCAGCTTTAAACATAAATGTTTTGTGTACATTTATATTGACGTTGCCTCGTGGAACTTGTGAAGCTGAAGCTTTTACATGTGAAACGGTGAACTTGCTCAGCCTGTGCGATGGGAAGAAGTGGAGTCACTTCTACATTTTTGGCTGCTTTCACAGCAATAGGGGTATCATCTAACTGCTGCTCAAACTTCTACGGCGGGAGAGAACCTTTGTCTGAGCCCGAGGCCCAGGCCGTAACTTATTTTGTAGGAAGCCGGAAGGAGGACTTCCTGTGTTTCCTCACTATCCACTCCTACAGCCAGATGCTCTTGATTCCCTTTGGACACCCAAACTTCACCGCTGACAACTACGAAGAGCTGGTACTTACATCTACAAACACATAATATTCTACATAATATTGCATAGCTATTCAGGACAAACAGTGTCAGTGTGTCTTTAAAGACTGATTATGATTTTCACTGCATGTTCCTACTTTGATAAAGACAATACTTTGCATATTGTCATAGAAACTGAGGTTATGCAGCTCAAAACAACCCACAGTAAATGTGACCCAGGAATTAAAAACCATATCTGTGTTTGATTCTCTTTTATATAGAGTTATATTTTAACTATTTTAGCAGAGCAGGAAGAAGAATACTATGGTTGAATTGGTCCAAAATCTGTTATATCTGGATTAGAGCAAGACGACTAAATTAGCCAGGACAATATGTCAGCTGATACTTGATAATTGCAAATACACCGATATTGGTGTAAATATAATATTAATAATTAATATTATAATTAATATATATATAATAAAACACCACATCCATGTGCATAAATGGAAAGCCAAGGCAGAGAGCAGCATTAAAGGGTACAGAACTGAGCATTAATACAGCTTGCAGGGGAAGCAGCAATGGCAGGCAGGCTGTAGCAGCTTAAATAAGGCGCCATGTATGTAATTTGCCAGTGAATGCTAAAAGACGATTCAGCTGAGCTGTCCGCTAAAGTGACTGGCTTTAGGATGGCTGCTGTCAGCTGACACTACCCCCCCATCATCAACATATGACAGATAGTGTGTTTTCTGACTGGATACACAACACTAACTATCAAAATCAGAATAACAAGCGAGTTTATTAGGTACATTTTCACATACAAGGAATTTGCCTCAGCATGTATTGGTGCTTAACAGTACACACAAACATAAATATTGAAATATAAATATAAAAAAAGTAAAGAGATCAAAAAGTTTACAAAATAATACTGAAAATTCAAATACCTACAATATGTATGCACACAGAACTGATGTGGATGCTAAAAACTGGTGATCCGCAGCTTCAAATGAAGTACGAAAGATACATTTGCTTGTTCTGTTGTCAAAACTGTAATTTGCTGAACACAATATTGCTTTCATTCCATTGTGTTTTATGCCCATTAGGCTTTACTAATAGAAAAAATAAGGTTTTGTGCTCTCTGGATCTCTGCTCATTTCAGTGATTGTATGACAAATGCTAATGTCTGGATCCTCAGATGGAGGTGGGTTTGGCTGCAGCAGACGCCATTAGGGGGATCCACGGGAAGAATTACACTGTAGGAACCTCAGCGAAAGTATTGTGTAAGTCTGCACAATACCGCTATTCATACAAGATATTTCTTAGGGGGCTTAATTGATGTAACAGGGAAAGGTAAGACAGGTCAAGCTTGGAGTGATTAGCTGACCCCACAAGTGTTCACTGACCTTCAAGTTCTAGTTATTTCTCTCATGTAAACTATTTTGTTTTATGATGAAATACCAGAATAAATGACATTCCCATCAGCCTTAACAGTACATTGTGTTTAGTGCTAATACAGTGGGTACGGAAAGTATTCAGACCCCTTTAAATTTTTCACTCTTTGTTTCATTGCAGCCATTTTCCAAAAATCAAAAAAGTTCATTTTATTTCTCAGTAATGTACACTCAGCACCCCATCTTGACAGAAAAAAACAGAAATGTAGAAATTTTTGCAAATTTATTAAAAAAGAAAAACTGAAATGTCACATGGTCATAAGTATTCAGACCCTTTGCCGTGACACTCATATTTAACTCAGGTGCTGTCTATTTCTTCTGATCATCCTTGAGATGGTTCTATACCTTCATTTGAGTCCAGCTGTGTTTGATTATACTGATTGGACTTGATTAGGAAAGCCACACACCTGTCTATATAAGACCTTACAGCTCACAGTGCATGTCAGAGCAAATGAGAATCATGAGGTCAAAGGAACTGCCTGAAGAGCTCAGAGACAGAATTGTGGCAAGGCACAGATCTGGCCAAGGTTACAAAAAAATTTCTGCTGCACTTAAGGTTCCTAAGAGCACAGTGGCCTCCATAATCCTCAAATGGAAGACGTTTGGGACGACCAGAACCCTTCCTAGAGCTGGCCGTCCGGCCAAACCGAGCTATCGGGGGAGAAGAGCCTTGGTGAGAGAGGTAAAGAAGAACCCAAAGGTCACTGTGGCTGAGCTCCAGAGATGCAGTCGGGAGATGGGAGAAAGTTGTAGTAAGTCAACCATCACTGCAGCAATCCACAGTCGGGGCTTTATGGCAGAGTGGCCCGACGGAAGCCTCTCCTCAGTGCAAGACACATGAAAGCCCGCATGGAGTTTGCTAAAAAACCCTGAAGGACTCCAAGATGGTGATAAATAAGATCCTCTGGTCTGATGAGACCAAGATAGAACTTTTTGGCCTTAATTCTAAGCGGTATGTGTGGAGAAACCAGGCACTGCTCATCACCTGTCCAATACAGTCTCAACAGTGAAGCATGGTGGTGGCAGCATCATGCTGTGGGGTGTTTTTCAGCTGCAGGGACAGGACGACTGGTTGCAATCGAGGGAAAGATGAATGCGGCCAAGTACAGGGATATCCTGGACGAAAACCTTTTCCAGAGTGCTCTGGGCCGAAGGTTTACCTTCCAACAAGACAATGACCCTAAGCACACCGCTAAAATAACGAAGGAGTGGCTTCACAACAACTCCGTGGCTGTTCTTGAATGGCCCAGCCAGAGCCCTGACTTAAACCCAATTGAGCATCTCTGGAGAGACCTGAAAATGGCTGTCCACCAACGTTTACCATCCAACCTGACAGAACTGGAGAGGATCTGCAAGGAGGAATGGCAGAGGATCCCCAAATCTAGATGTGAAAAACTTGTTGCATCTTTCCCAAAACGACTCATGGCTGTATTAGATCAAAAGGTTGCTTCTACTAAATACTGAGCAAAGGTCTGAATACTTATGACCATGTGATATTTCAGTTTTTCTTTTTTAATAAATTTGCAAAAATTTCTACATTTCTGTTTTTTTCTGTCAAGATGGGGTGCTGAGTGTACATTACTGAGAAATAAAATGAACTTTTTTGATTTTTGGAAAATGGCTGCAATGAAACAAAGAGTGAAAAATTTAAAGGGGTCTGAATACTTCCGTACCCACTGTATAAGCAAATGGTAGCATGCTAAACTAATAGGGTAAACATTATACCTGCTAAACATGTGTGTATCATTGTAAGCATTTAGGTTAAACAGAGCCTCAATCTAGCATGGCTATAAACACTAAGACCGGCTTTAGACATGTGTAAAAAAAAAAAAAAAAAAAAACTTAAAAAGATACATTTATTTGAATGAGACCAATCCAGTAATGCAGCAGATTTGCCAAGGCAGAGGGCTCTGCCAAAAAAGTTGAACCAGGTGGCCAATCAAATAGGTCGGAGCACACATTCCTGGTAGACTACTTTGTAACATGAATGCTGTATTATTGCTTTTTACTTTACAATTGTTGCAATGAAGGTGATAACTTTCCAGAATTGTAAATTGTTTCCTCATTATAAGCCTTCAAGCACATGAACATTCAAGGATTCAAAGTGTTTATTATCAGATGTTCAAGTTTCTCTGTACACTTTGCTGTCCACATCAAATTGCTACAATAAAAATAAAATATATTTATTCATAAAAATACAATTAAAATATGAAATATAGAAATATAAAATAAGCTGAGTTTGTGAAAATGTTTTAATTTAAAGTCCTCAAACTGGACTCACCCGTACCTGAAGCAACAACTGAACTCCTACTTGGTTTTTTGTGCGTTTTTGCTCTACTCACACTCATCATCTTTTTTCTGTAGTTAAGCTGTAGTTTAACTCAAGATGAATTGGATGTGTGAGTGCAACTGGTCACATGCCTCTGACATATAGGAATTGTAGTGTTGTATTACTCGAGACCGGTCTTGGTCTTAAGACCACTTTTTGATGGTCTTGGTCTCGTCTCGGACTCGACTGCATTTCCACTCGGTCTTGTCTCTGTCTCGGACATTGAGGACTCTGGATTTTATTTCAAGACCAGTCAAGACCATAATGGTGGGAATATCAATAAATTGCTTTTGCATTGTCTGATTTGTTAACATCCTAACTTTTATTGGAAGTAAAACATACTGCTTCAATGCAACCAATAACTCTAATTAATGACACCCCTCCCTGCGATGCTTATGTTGATTTCAGCTCTTAGTGTTTGTATGTGGGTGTTTTAATGGGAAATGTGGATCTTTCAGACGAATTTGTGAAGTACCTATGATCTTGTTCCACATTTTATTGCGTACCATGCAATCAGGGAACTGGTCTTGACAAGTCTTGCCCTCTCTCGGTCTTGGTCTCGACTGCTTTCAGCCCCTAAAAGTCTTAGTCTTGTCTTGGTCTCAATAAACTCTGGTCTTGTTCTTGGTTTGGGCGGTTTTGACTACAACACTATCGCTTTGGATAAAAGCTTTCACTAAGTCACTAATTAATTAACTGTAAATATTACCTTTGAAGCTACTAAAGCTTATTGAGAAGGTTACATGACACCGGCCAGTAAAATGTGTACCCTTTTTCTACAGACCCCAAATCTGGTTCATCCACAGACTGGGCTCGGCTGCAGGGGATCCCCTTCACCTACACCTTTGAGCTAAGAGACAATGGGACATTCGGCTTCCAGCTACCCGAGGATCAGATCCAGCCGACCTGTGAGGAGGCCTACAGCGGAGCCCTGCACATCATCACCTACGCCCACGACAAGACCTTTAATGGTGCTGTGGCACCCACTGCTGCAGCCCTGTGGACCATGCTGTTAGGAGTGGGTTTCACCAACACCACTCTGATGTGAATTAGAAAAAACTGCATGAGGGGAAACTGACTAAAGCTGTACTTTTTTGAGGTCCAGTCATCCTAAAGAATCTGCTTGATTCTCATTTGAGGAAAACATTTTTTTGTTGATAAATTATTACAAATAGTATTAAAATGTATAATAATAATAATTTTTATTTGTAGAGCACTTTTCAAAAACAAGTTACAAAGTGCTTTAACAAGTGTAAAGACAATAATACCCAAGAGACAATAATACAAAAACATTACAAGATAAAAACATGAAAACATTGAAAAGACTAAAATACATGTTTAAGATAAATATAAAATTAGTAAAATACAATAAAAGGGATAAAATAAAGTCAAATCAGATCGGGAAATGCTCTCCTATAAAAGTATGTTTTAAGAAGAGACTTAAAAGAGTTCACTGACTCAGCCGACCTGATTTCCTCGGGCAGGCTGTTCCAGAGCCTCGGGGCCCTGACAGCAAACGCTCTGTCCCCTTTAGTTTCAGTCGAGACTCTGGAACAGACAGCAGACCTCTGCCCGAGGATCTCAAGGTACGTGCTGGTGTATATGGGACTAAAAGGTCAGAAATATAACAAGGCGAGAGGCCATGAAGAGCTTTAAAAGTAATCAATAGAATTTTAAAGTCAATTCTAAAACATACTGGGAGCCAGTGTAATGAAGCTAAAATAGGAGTAATGTGGTCATATTTCTTTGTTCTGGTTAAAAGCCTGGCAGCTGAGTTCTGGACAGTCTGTAGTCGATCAATAGATTTTTAAACAGGTGAAAAGGCTGTTGCAATAATCCAGGCATGATGAGATGAAGGCGTGTAAAATGGTCTCGGTGTCCTTAAAAGTTAACATAGAAATATAGCAAAAATTCGATCTAAGTTGATAAAAACATGATTGAACAAGCTTTGTGGTGTGCTGCACCAAGGTTCTTTGCCACAGGCTTAATGTGATTTACTAGGGAACCAGCAGATTGGGTCCCAGCAGGCCATCTGCTGGGACCCAATGACCAGGATTTGTGTTTTGTCTGAGTTCAGTTGGAGGAAATCATTTGACATCCATTTTTTAACTTCACAAAGGCAGTTGTTAAGTGAACTCAGCATTCCAGGGTCTGTGGATCTGACGGGCAAGTATATTTGTGTGTCATCAGCATAAATATGAAAAGAAATGCCATGTTTATGGATAATATGTCCAAGAGGAAGCAGATACAAGGAAAACAAAATAGGTCCTAAGACCGACCCCTGAGGCACACCATATTTAACTGGACAGAACAAAGAGACATAGTTGTTTACAGACACGCAAATGAAAAATGAAAACCATTCTAGGGCAGTGCCAGAGATCCCCACCCAGTGCCTCAGTCTGTCTAACATGATGTTGTGATCAATGGTGTCAAAAGCAGCGCTAAGGTCCAGGAGTACCAGGACTGAGCACATACCTTCATCAGCAGACATTAAAAGGTCATAGGTGACTTTAAGCAGGGCAGTCTCAGTGCTGTGGTACTTCCTGAAACCAGATTGAAACTTTTCAAATATTTTGTTATTTTCCAGTACAGTGAGCAGCTGTTTGGACACAATTCTTTCTAGAATCTTTGCAATAAAAGGCAGTTTTGAAATTGGTCTAAAATTATGTGGGAGGGAGGGATCTAAACCAGGTATCTTTAAAAGTGGGTTCACGCAAGCCGTTTTAAAATAATCAGGGACACAACCAGTAGATAGGGAGCTGTTGAAAACAGAGATCAAATGGAGCCCAACAGAATCCATTACTTTCAGTCAAAAACTCATTTGTGATACTGTTTTTAAAAGCTCAGACAAGTCGATGGGATAAAACTGGTTAAAACTCTCTTGTTGCTGGTGAGGAACCTCTGAGTAAGAGGCCGCAGGGGTAATAGAGGCTCTGATTGACACCACCTTATTGATAAAATAAGATAAAAACAATTCACAGTCATCATTACTTGCAGCTGAGGCACGAGGAGGGGTTGGGTTTACCAGCTGATCCACAGTCTTAAACAGAAACCTGGGACTGTGTTTATCTGTAGTAATGAGTTCAGAAAAATAATGTGTTCTCGCATCCTTAACCATGTTATTGTAGTTAATTAATAAATCCTTCAGACTGAGGTAATGGACTTGGAGACTGGATTTTTTCCATCTATGCTCTGCTTTCCTGCATTCCCTTTTTAGGCTGCGAATGCTGTCATTTATCCAGGGTTGCTTACTAGTTTTAGACGTAGGCCTAACCTTTAGAGGAGCAGTAATATTTAGTGACAACAAGCAGATATGATTGAAGTGATCGACCAGATTGTTGGTGTTGGAATCAGACAGGTGTTGGCTTTGGCTCTGAAAGAATGCGCAAAACTTTGAAACACTTTGTTCATTAAAGATGCGACAACACACGGAGCTTGGTGAGGCGGCATGAGTAACAGGCGAATTGCAGCTAAAAACAATACATCTGTGGTCAGATATGGTCATGTCCACCAATTCCACAGAGGAAATGCTGACACCCAGGGTAAAAACCAATTCCAGTGTATGGGTTATGGGTTTGCCCTTTGACATGTTGTTTGAAGTTAAAAGAAGTGGCCATATTTAAAAAGTCAGTTGCATTAACATTGGTGGAGTCATCAACATGAATATTAAAATTGCCACAAAGAACAATTCTGTCACAATTTAAAACCAGAGTAGATAAAAATTAAGGAAGTTCTGATAAAAATCCTCCAGGTGGTTTTGGGGGGCGATAAATTATAACAAATATGATAGCCCTCCAAGTTTAAGAGTGAGAACTTCAAAGGAGTTAAATTCATCACAGCGTACTTGATGACATTTTAAATTTTTCCTATACACGCTCACTAGCCCGCCACCACGACCACTGACCCTCGGTTGACTAAAACAATCATATTGAGGCGGACACAGTTCAGCTAGCTTCATTTGCAACCATGATTCAGTTAAAAACATAAAATCTAGATTTGCAGACAAGATAAAATCATTTAAGATAAAAGTCTTACTTGACAGAGATCTCACATTGAAGAGAGCCATTTTAAATGTGTTTGTTCTCGGTGCTGGAGTTGTTGCAGTTGTCCTAATCCTTAAGAGATTACTAATATTTCTGTGTGGGATGTGCACATTTCGGTTTACTGGTCTATGCGTGATGATCAGGAATAGAAGTCTTTTGAACAGCGCTGGGAGCAGACAGTTTTACATGCCAGCAGGTGCAGACAGTTGTTTGTGGCAGTGAGACAGAGATCTGTTCAGTGACCGGTGGTGCGTCCAGGTGTGTTGCATGAATGATTAGTCATTCACGTAAATCATGTGTGGACCGCACCACATGCTGTATATGTGAGCAGCTAACATTTCTGAGCCCCGTTTGTTTGGGTGAAGTCCGTCTGTCTTAAAAAGAGACATTCTTTGCCAGAAAATATTAAAATTATCCACATAACACACACGATGAGCCCTGCAGGCGGACTGGAGCCAGTCGTGGAGGCCAAGGAGTCTACTGAAGCGGCCAGCACCTCGACCAACTGTGGGAATGGGACCAGAGATAAAAACAGACTTTCCACACTACTTTAAAAAATTAAAAGACGGTTAAAATCTGATTTTGTCAGCTCAGACTGCTGAAGAGCTGTGTCATTTGTTCCCACATGGACTATCACTCTTGTGATGGAGGACGGGAGCGACGGCATCAGGTCCTGGAGTTTTTTTAAAATGCAAGCTGTGGTGGCACCGGGGAAGCAGTGAGTGGTAGCGTTAAAGAAACAGATGTTTCTGGTTATGGAGTCACCAATTATTAGTGTGGTTGGGGAGAAAAGAGGACGAGGAGATGCTGGTTGTGGGGTTCCAGAGCAGGACTGAGCAGAATCTGCTTCAACACTGCGTGCGGACTGAGGATGGAGTGTGTGAGCTGCCGAGTGTTGTGTTGGAGTAGCAGTAACAGACCTGAGAGAGGGGCTACCCGACGGTGCAGGGTGGAGACGGCAGCCTCCTTCAGGATCCCAAGTAGGGAAGCGGAGGCCCAGCGGCAGACCGGCGGCCCAGCGCGGGAGATGTAGCCGGTGGAGGTGATGCAACATTTATCTCTTGATAAATAATGCATCCTTTAAACTATTATCAAACCGTTGTGTCTAAAAGTTTCTTTAAATACTTAAATGTTTATCTTATAATGTATTGCAGCCAATAGCTGATGCATTCGAAGAATCCAATTTAATTAACATTAATTATTGTGACATATAACTGACATGATCTGGTGCAAAAGAGCAACAACTTGCCCAAACAGATTAAAAATATGTTCACTGTTTCTTGTTTTGAACATTTGTGATGCCTATAAATTAAATTATACAGCTAATAGAAACATCTAAACTTCATTTTAGGTGTTAAATTCTCTACTTTAATTCTAAATGAATTTACAGCTGACAATCTGTATGTCATGAATTCCTAAAATAGAAAATGCATAACTATTCTACTATATTTACAGTTCATACTATTGGCAAAAGTTACAGTATGTACCATAACAGAAAACATAAAGAGGTAAGTGTGTTTTATCTTTTAGTGTAGGGGACAAAAGTTTCCCAGTGTAACAGCAGTTTCATGGCTCAGTGTTTGTTACTGTGGTCCTGAATGGGTGAAAGCCCTGTTGTCTCAGACCGGTTAGCAGCAAGAAGAGCTGATCCTCTGGAGGAAACTGGTCCCACTGTGTCCATGTCCAACCTGAGAGGGAGAGAAGCACACAGTCTCTATAATGAACTACTCAGTCAGGTGGGAATCATGTTTTTCAATTTAAGAAAAACTGTAGTTTAACTTTACTCACCCTCGTTCTTCTCCGGCTCCATGTTCTCTGGCTCTCCTGACTTCTTCCTGTCCAGTACTCCTTGCATGATTATAGTGACGTAGTGGTACTGATCCTCCAGGCGGATGGAGTTCACCACTGATGCAAAGCGGATGTTCACCAAATGCACCCCTGCTTCCTCTAACACCTCTCTGTGAGCGCACTCCTCCCACGTCTCTCTTTCAGGGACATAGAAATAAATGTCACATCAACTGGAATTCATCGCATTCAGGTCTTTTATCATTTCGGGGCTGGTCATGTACACTGAGAAACATATTTAGACTACTTCGCCCCCACTCCTCGCTCTAAGCTCGACCTTTACTTTGAGATAACTGACTGTCTTTAGTGAGAGATCTCAAAATGATTTCTCAGGTTTTCTGTACACAAAACAGCATTTAAAATTTAGTGAATTGTGCACACTTATTTTAAAATAAATGATTAATATTTGGTAAATGATTTGGCATAATTATAACTGTTTTTATTTCAATTTTTGTCCTAATGCTAGAAAAGCACACAATGGTTTAAGGTTCAGTGTGTAATATTTAGGAGGATCTATTGACAGAAATGCAATATAATATTTGTAACTACAGTGGATAGAAAAAGTCTACACACCCCTGTTAAAATGCCAGATTCTTATGATGTAAAATAATGAGACAAAGATAATCATGTCAGAACTTTTTCCACCTTTAATGTGACCTACAATGTGAACAATTCAATAGAAAAACAAATTGAAATCTTCAAGGGGGAAAAATTAAAAATAAAAACCTTACAATAACCTGACTGCATAAGTGTGCACACCCTCTTATAACTGGGGATGTGGCTTCAGAGCAAACTCACATTCACATTCAAACTCAGGTTAACTAGAAGTCATTACACAGCTGCAGCATCATTTAAAGTGACTCTGATTAATCGCAAATAAAGTTCAGCTGTTCTAGTAGGATTTTCCTGATATTTTCTTAGTTGCATCTCCGAGCAAAAACCATTGTCTGCAGAGAGCTTTCAAAGCATCAGAGAGATCTCATTGTTGAAAGACATAAGTCAGGAGACAGGTACAAATTTCCAAAGCATTAGATATACCATGGAACACAGTGAAGACAGTCATCATCAAGTGGAGAAAATATGGCACAACTGTGACCTTACCAAGAACTGGACCTCCCTCCAAAATTGATGAAAAGACGAAAAGAAAACCGGTCAGGGAGGCTTCCAAGAGGCCTACAGCAACATTAAAGAAACTGAAGGAATTTCCCTTAAAAAGTGTGGTACATGTGACAACTATCTCCCATATTCTTCATATGAATGGGCTGTGGGGCAGGGTGGCAAGACGGAAGCCTTTTCTTACAAAGAAAAACATCCAAGCACGGCTGAAGTTTGCAAAAACAAACATCAAGTCCCCCAAATGCATGTGGGAAAATGTGTTATGGTCTGATGAAACCATGGTAGAACTTCTTGGAACCGGGGCCTTGGTCAGGGTGGAGGGAATTATGAACAGTTCCAAATACCAGGCAGTTTTGGCACAAAACCTTCAGGCGTCGGTTAGAAAGCTGAAAAGGAAGTTCACCTTTCAGCACGACAACGACCCAAAGCGCACATCCAAATCCTCAAAAGCATGGCTTCACCAGAAAAAGATTTAATGTTTCGGAATGGCCCGGCCAGAGCCCGGACCTGAATCCAATTGAACATCTGTGGGGTGATCTGAAGAGGGCTGTGCACAGGCGATGTCCTCGCGATCAGACAGATTTGGGGCGCTTTTGCAAAGAAGAGTGGGCAAATATTGCCACGTCAAGATGTGCCATGCTGATAGACTCCTACCCAAAAAAGACTGACTGCTGTAATGAAATCAAAAGGCGCTTCAACAAAGTATTAGTCTAAGGGTGTGCACACTTACGCAACCAGGTTATTGTAAAGTTTTTATTTGTCATTTTTCCCCCTCGAAGATTTCAATTTGTTTTTTCACTTGAATTGTTCACATTATAAGTCACATTAAAGGTGGAAAAGGTTCTGACATGATTTATCTTTGTCTCACTATTTTACATCATACAAATCTGGCATTTTAACAGGGGTGTGTAGACTTTTTCTATCCACTGTATGTTTTCAGTGGTGTATAAAGACCTTACATAGTGCCCTTTCTATCTACACACACCCTTTACATGAAAGTTGGACATTTTGAATTTAATGGTCATGGCACCACTTACTGGCAACAGGAAGAAAATCCTTTGTGAAAATCCTCATTTGATTTACATGAAATTTTCACAGTGTGGTCCACACTTAATGTACTTGTACATAACATATAATTAGCGAGTGTCCTCTAGCATCACATAGGGGACACAGCGAGTGATGTTAAACTGCTTCCCGAGGTGCCCAAAGCCCATGATAATTCAGAGCCACATCGATGACCTCCAGCGACTGCATCTCGCCCCAACAAGCCCCAACGCGCCCCAACGCGCATCACGATGCGAGGGCCTGTCAAACGCTGCTTGCAGCCTTAATTTATATTAAGATTCCATCAAGAGCAATATCTTTTTTTTTTTGTCACACACCCTGTTCATTTGGCATAATGTTCTCAACAGAGGTTCAATGCAGATTTTTTTTCCCTTTAAACACAAAATTCTGTCCTTCTTAGAAAGTGCAACACAACAAATCACATGCTCAGACCCCAGAATCCAGCTACCTCAGCACATGTTTCAGTGTGTATTAGCCTACTAAGAATATAGGTTACTACTGCAATGCAGTAATGGAAGCAGCAGTGTAAGTCATGGTTGAATGTTAATTCTTGGCAGTACTGCAGCACTACTGTAGCATACTGTTAAGGGGAAAGTGATTGAAATAGTTTATAATTAATAATTCTTAAAGGCTTCTAAAATAAAAACAAACAGTGATGTTGCCACAGAACAATAAAAGGGATCTGATGCAATGAATCCAGTCAAATTACAATAATCATTTTGCCTTGTCTGAATGTAGGATTTATTAGTGTGGTGTACAGGCAACAGTTAAAGGTTTTACCATGCACAATGCTATGAAGAACACTATGAAGATTTACAGCCATGCTTGGTGCTCTGTGATGTCTGTTCTTAGCTAATGCTAACGTTACTGTGCTAGCATGCGTACAGTGACCATGCTAACATGTTTAGTTTAGCAAGTATAATGTTTATCGTTTAGTTTAGCATGTTAGCATACCAGTATTTGGCATTGTCACTAATCACTACAGCTACTTGGTGATGAAACAAAGTGTTGTGCAATTTTTGACATTGGGGCTAAAAGTTAAAGAATCACCAAAGTTATCTATGTTATAATACCATAGGACATGTACTATGTGGTAAATGTGTGGTAACCATATGTTATAGTACCACAGGTAATACATTACCACAGAATTTGCTTTACTTGTGGTACAGGAAGGTGGTACCACATGAAACACAAGTAACACCTTTTGTTAAACAGAATAACATGGGCAGTACCTGCATTTATGATCCTACAATGTGGACCTTTGCCCTTACTCAGTCTGGACTTGTTATTGATTGTTTTATGTTTTTGACTTAATGTACCTTATCTAATCTTCTCCCTTTTTTATTCTTGTTATAAAAAACATGTTCTCCTGAACAACATTACTCAGACAAGGGTTTGTCTGTACAGCAATGATTCCCCAGGTCTCATTAACTCAATGACACAATGGTTATAAATTAATCTTAAATATGATTTGCACTGCATCATTTCTTGGCCATGATCAGCATTGACATCACAGCAGTTCACTGCAAATAAGAGTCCTGTTGAATCTAAACCCGGGAGAAAAAAGTGAGCAGGAAGGGATGCAATGAAAAGTTAGTTGAGAAACACAAAATGTCGTACTGGAAAGGTAGATAACAGTCAAGAAAGAAACTTACTGAGAAATTTACTGTGCTTGAATGTGTTTCAAGTCAAACCATCTGACCCTTATTAAAAAAGAAACACATGACCTAGAGTATAGGCAAATATACACATATAAAAACGTGTCACAGACCATCTGAAAGATATAAAGTAATCAAGGCTCTCAGCTCAGATTAAACATTAACCTGCACAATGATAGTGTGTGGGGCTGCTAGCAGTCTGTGGTTGAGGCAAAGGTGTATGCTTATCTGATGGATGTCTTCTATAAAAGCTTCTACCATCCTGAAGTCAGTGTTCATTGCAAACAAGGAGTTGCCTTTCACAAAGTGACAATGCTTAACTCTGTGGGACTAAACCTTGTGGTGCTGCTTTCAGCGATGGGAGCAGCCACAGTAGAGAGGTGAGTTTTATTCATTAAATGACACACTGATGGCATGTGTCAGATACTATTTCTCAAAAGGCTAGGGTCATTACTGTGGAAGAAATCTGTTACCTTAGAATCCCAATCCCCACAGTAGTAGTAGTTCTCAGAGGTGGAAGGAGCATTCAGATACTTTACTGACTAAAATGTGAAAATACTCCCAAACAAAAGTACTCATAACGCAAAACATCTCATATCAGAGTGTTACATATTGTTGTTATTATCGATACATCCAATTTTTCCAATTAACAAAAATTTAAATAACAAGATATATTGTGTTAATAAGTGAGTCTTTTTAATTTAAACTTTTGGACAGAGCCACTCTAGCTGTTTCCCCCTGCTCCTAGTCAGGCTAAGATAAGCTAGCTATCTCCTAGTGCAGTTGAGCAAAGATGGGAAACAGGCTACTTTTTGTTTTGTTAATTTAATCAAAACCAGTAGGAATATTCCTTGTATAAAATAAGGCTATCTTTATTGCTTCAAAGGTAGGGAGTCACCACTTCTTTTTTGTCTCTCTTGTTTACCATGCTGGTAAATCTGAATGAATAATACTTTGGTTATTTTATTATTTGCTTATTGTTTCCGTAAAATGAACTGAACGGTTAAATTGTGGAGAATCTAACCAATCAAACGTACGATGTGTAGCATGTCAAGATATTTGTATGCATTATCTATGTAGCCTAGAACCACCTCAAGAAGGCAACCCAGTGGGCTTTAAGATGTTTTATCCATCCAAAGAATTTCTATAAAAACAGACCAGGCTTCTAACTGATACCTGCCTTAATTTATCAAATTGTGTAGCCACAGCAGGCCATTTAAAGAGACAGGTGTCTAACCGGTACTGCGCTTTTTAATTGTAGTGTTACCGCATACAGACATGTGAGTAGTATCAATGTCTTCCCCGTGATTTTAACAGTTCAGAGTTCAGT